ATGACGTAACCATGGCGACAGACGTGGACAACTGCGTAGTGCGTAACGTTTAGCGGCACGCAGTTCTTGTTTCTTTCAAACATAGACCATGGCAAGTAGACTTTGGGACAAACAAGGAGAACTAAAATGAGGATTAATATCAGCGTGGCGTTTTTGAGATGCCGAGAGCTCCACGTCCGCGACTAACTTGGACTCGACAGAGCTTCACGAGTCACGACTTGACAGCTTTATTAGACAGGTGAGCAAATGCACATAAAACAAATCAATGTTATATAACGTTAGCTCAACATGATGAAATGTTAGAATATGGTCAGTATGTTATTCTAATGTTGATCTAGCTTACTGCTAGTTTCGTATAGCAAACGAACTAACACGTAAGTTAGTATAACATTATAACTTTCAACACACATTTAAATGCCGTTTAGTGTGATAGTGTAACGTTAGACCAAGTGAAGCAGCGCTGCGTTGCCTCACAAGTTTAATTTGTCTAATAAACTGACCTGTGTGAGTAATCCAGCACTTGCGAGTAGTTCGGTAGAATTAAATGTCCTTATTCCTTTATATCCGCGGGACTCGCGTGTGATATGTCTCTTTAGCAATCGCGACCTGCTTCATACCACTGTAATGTTAAAAAGCATGAATGTTTGCACTCATCCATAAACATTATTAGATCCATCAGCTTGACAGCAAGTCCCATCATTCAGCTCATCACTGCGTCATAAACCTACGCCTTTGTTATTGTTGGAAACTGCGCCCTCTTGAGGCGAAAAAACCTACATATTGTGCCTTTAAACAAGCTGCACAATTTGAGTTAATCATGTCTGTAGCATAAACGTGTAAATCACACCCCAAAGTATAATACTTACGGTTATAGGGGAAAAGCTTGGGGCAAAGTAGCAATAATAACAGTGATTGCCTTAACAAGTACTGCTTATTATACTTAGTTATAGCGATACAACAGCAGCAGTAAATTTTATCTGAAAGGTCTGTGACTCTAGATTTCCATGGTAAAACATCAAGATGGAAAGTATATAATAAGGGTCTCCTAGCCAAGACACAAAGACAAAGCCAGATTCGATATTGAGAGAAGTAAAACTGCTTTTAGCTCCAAGGTATCAGTGCCTCCTGGAAGACATCCACACATACCCCTTCATTTTCCACATGATGTCCATTTAAAAGATGTCAGTGAACCCAATGAATGTGAAAGGGTGTCTGATGAAGCGGCAAGAGAAAATTGCGCTGACTCACGGCAATCAGGCCGAGTCATTCTGTCACCCACAAGACCACAAAGCTTAACTGCCTTCTGAATAATTTACATTCTTCTGTACGATCAGGGCAGAACTTCATACACACAGCTGACTCATATACAGGCAAATAAGCTCCCGTGGGAGGCTGCCCTCCCCCTGTGAACATCAAAACCTTCCCAACACTGACACAAAGGCACAGGCACTCTCTTCATGGACACAAACGGCAAACAGGACGCTGTTAAATGTTAAATGTTGATCTGCACTCTCTGAGCCCTGCGAAGGGGGTGGAGAGGTAGAGAGGGGGTCAGTTTGTCAGCCCTGGAGGCCATAAGAGCACACAGAGTAGAGAGGATGGGCCTTAACGGGTTACAGGGAGGAAAAAAGGCCACAGAAAGAGGCGTATATAAAGATGAGCACTTTATGTGCAACATCCTGTCTATTCAGTGTCGTCCTTCTGGTTGATTTTTGAGGACAGCATAGCTGGATCCTCACAAACTAAAAACATACAACTATTTTCATTACTTAAAATAAACATTAACGGAAATAAAAGCTCATTGGCAGAATAAAAAAAAAAAATTACATTATTTTTTTATAATTTTTTATGATTCTTATGATTGTATTTCTTGCATTGTAAGCATTGTAGTCAGTACTGCAGATATTCACTTGTTGAAACCTAAAGCACACTTGAATTTGTTCTAGATCATCAGATTATGTTATGCAACATTTTTTCCGTAAAAAAGTGCTTCAGAAATGTAAGCTTGTGGTCTTGCAATGGGCCGTCTGTAGTCTACATCATGAGACAGGAGGGTGTCCCATTTGTTATTTTATGATTCTGAATGTTTTTCACAAGCGCCTTGATGCATCTTTTTGGCGGGTCACAGCTGATGCGGACTACACGGCTGGCTGATATACCTGACAGTTTGTGCAGCATTACGTCACCAAAATGTGGTGGATAAATGGACCGCAAGGGCTTAGGGTGGCATTTTGGAACGAGTCCATTGACTGTCTGTGCGCCAAGACAACAAAGCAGCTATTGTACCTCCAGTTTCAGACTCAGCCTAAGGGGACGTTTACATGACACCGCTTTTAGTTGAAAAACGTAACTTATTATGCATTTTGGCCGTTCATTTACACACGACAACGGCGTTTTGAGGGCCTAAGAACGCAAACTTTTGAAAACGGGTTTCAAAGTGCAAGTTTTTGAAAACGATACCGTAAACATCTGAAACTACAAAAACATGAGTTTAAAAAACCAAAGGAGTTACTGTGCCCCCCTCCCACCGCATTCGCAAGCGAAAACAAATGTGTGAAATGCACGCACCCGGGTTGGTTGCTTTCTAGTGCGAAAGCAAAGTTGAACCAACATTAACATGGCTGGTTACCTCCAGACTACATTTGTAACACATTCACCTTTGGTTGTACTCGTGGGGGGAAAAAAGTTTGTTAAAACAGGATCTTAGTTGCATTCCTACCAAATGTTTTGAAATGCAGCCAAATGCAGCATAGTGCAATACATGTCAGCACACTGTCAGCAGGAGAACTCATGGGACGCTATATAGGCGCGCTGAGAGCATGTTGGAGGCATGTGTAGGACGGGATGGTTGCAGTTTGCCATTAATAGCACGCTGAGCTCAATTAGTCCAAACTACGTGCTACTGGAATAGCAGAATTTTTGCCACTTTGTGTTGCTACAGCCTTGACATGAATTAGACATTTGGTTTTGAGGCAAATAGTGGTGCCTGCTGTTTACTATTGCTCATACTTAGTTTCTTTTTTTAAGTAATTGAACAAACCTCTAAAGTATTACACTTTGGCACATTACTCATCCAGCAGTTTCTGCTAAAGAATGGCACATCAAATCATGCGGCTTGTTGAGGAAAGGTGTGCAATTACCATTTTTACCCTTTCACACGGTTAAAATATTCTAGCTGCGTTTTTTAAACTGGCCATTATTTTAGAATATTTCACCTTGTTATTTCTACCCCAACTCTTCAAGCATGTCTTGGAATAGATCTGTATGAAGTCTTTTTATTACATTTTTTCTTTTTTATTCAAAATATTCACAAAGGTGTTAACTATATAAAATATCTAATATTCCGATCCTCAAATAGTTGAAAATGGTGGACGCTGTGATATTATACAATGCAGAAAATCAAAACTGTTGGAATTACAAATGCATCGACTTCTCCTGAAAGACATGAAAGTAAGTGGCCGGTGAACTGGGAGAAACTTTTTAGTTACCAACACAATGTCTGATGTAAATAAAACACGTTGTCAGATTGTTTAAAAGGTGTATTATTGCCGCTTACATAGACCAAACTTTTTTTTTTTTTTTTTTTTTAAGTACTTATGTGTATGTCTGAATCCTAAAGTAAACATTGTGTGGATGACAACATTGAATAGACATTCAAATGAGAAATAACTAAGCAGGTTTTACTTTTCCCACAACCAATGAATTGTTAACTAGAGAACGTGCACAATGATTATAGTAATTTTCATGACTTCCCGGTAGGCTAAGCATACATCTCCAAGAGCTCTGGACATCTCCAAAACATCTCATTTTTGTGTACGACATAGCGTCTTAAAAAAAATATTCACTTACTAAATTATAAACATCTCTACATCTGAATGTATTTTTAACATCTGCTAGGGAATGCTTTTATAGAGCAGTACTGCAAATGAGCAAACTCTCTAAAAGCACATCTTTCATCTCATCCAGATGAAAGAGCAGACATACATCTGTGTGACGTATAGATTTTAATCATTTACATCATTCCAGACCTGGAAGACACTATTTTAAAGCTTGAAAACCAATTAGACTCTGTTGTCCATCCAACTGATGAAGACCTTTACTCAGCTGAGCCTCTTCAAACAAAACATAGCAAAACAATCTGGCTTGAACCACAAGGGTGCTGTATATAAACAAAACACACAACAATACGCCAATAAATACGTAACAAGTCCAGTTGTTTTCTGCAAATGCGTTGGCAAATGTTAATTTTTCTCTCAGCATGCTCCTTCAGCTCTATTATAGCAAACTAACACGGTGAGCACTGGAGCTTATGTACTCGCGCCTCTCCATAATTCTCAACAGCTTTCAGTTAATTGGCTTCTCGAGCCACACGAAGCGCGCGCGACTGCCCCTGGTGCCACACCCTCTTTTCATTAAACAGCCAAGACACCTCAGTTACATTTGAGTCACCAATAAGCAAAATTTTAAATTAAAGTAAACCTGCACTACCACCGGATTCAGACCACGAATATGTTAGTCTGCGCGTGATACAATATGGGGGTTGGCCAACCATTAAATGCCTCAGGCCAACGGGGAAGAAACACAGCAACTGAAAACCTAATATTTCCATATTTTATTAACCTTTATGCACGTAATACATAAGCATTTAATATTAGCGTTACCCTTCTTCACAAGGTGCACTAACAGGCGCGCGCGCCGCTCATTTACACGCATTGTTCAGCTAATAACGGCATCCTTTCACTGTCTTCTCTAATAAACCAATTTTTTTATGTTGATGAATGACCACATGACCGAAAGGAATAGCAAGCCCTCGTTAAGCCACCGGCCAGCTAGACAAAATGTTAAATGACATAATAATATAAAAATGTAAGCCTCGTCACAAGGACATATGGACTGTCACTGAACCCGCGCTGCAAGCGCTGTTTCAACCTGTTTATAGTGCACACTTTACGGATAGTGAGCGTACATACACCGGATGACATCGCAACAAAGAGCCCTACCTGTCTCTCCAGGTTTGACGCGCGTATTTCCGTCCAAATGCCGACCATTGAGGGCTTGCGAATGCCACCGCCCAGCTGCTTCTATTCACCGTCACAGGATGGAGACTGTCCGAGAGGATGAATGAGCGGACGGAGGGGGAAGAGCAGCTCTCGGCTGGATGGATGAGAGGAGAGGAGCGGAGAGGAGAGGAGAAGAGGAGGAGGAGAAGAGCGTATAGGGGGCGTATGCGTGCTGGATACACCAAACTCCTTCCTCACAACTGAGAAAGCAGCGCAGAACTGAACACGCACCGATTTCATCATCACGGATGCGCTGTGAGCCTCTATTCCGCTTTATGTACGTCCATACACTACCGCATTCATGTAATTTAGTGAACCACTTAAGAAATAATGTAAGAGTACATTTTTGCCTATCTGTATGTAATTGTATTTTGCGAGAGAGCAAAATACACCGGAATAGAATTGAATACAATACTTTTTTGTCCCAATACAGACAATTCTTCAACACACTGTAAAATGTTTTAAAAAAGGCAACCTAAAAATGTTTCAACCTTCCCCAACTTCTTAGGTTGTCTATGAAAGCCTGTAGACTGATGCTTATGTGAAGGACATTTTTGCCGGGAAAATCGTGTGAGCACAAGCAAAGTTGCTGGCTGCTGTTCACTTAAAGAGGTAGTACGCCCAAAAATGAAAATTCTGTCTTTTATTTACATTTAAACATTGATCAGAGAACATAAACAGATGGTCAACCAACCTAATCACGGAAACATGTGTGACGTAGCCATGCGCACTTGGTAGACTGTCTCATTCTAGTGATTAATGCTGAGGAGGACACTACAAGCCTCAGAAGGACTGGACTAAAGCCCAATTTATACTTCTGCATCGACCTCTCGCCGTAGCTACGTCGTAGGTCGTGTGTAGCGCGCGTACCCTTCGGCGTACCCTGATGTGCACCTCTCTAAAAATTTAACAACGCATCAATTCTACGCGGACGCAGGCGCTGTGATTGGCCTGTCAGAACCGCTCCCTCGGGTTCCCTATCAGTCGGTCACTATGACGTATGTTGTGACCGACCAAAAGGAATCTCGCTAGAGAGGCCAATCTACATCGAGTGAAACTAAACAAGCCAATGCACATTGGCGTGCAATCATTTGCATCAGCTGCGCAGTCTCGCAGCGCGGGTATTTAACGCAGCTGGTGATGATTGCACTCTAGCTTTTTGCTTCGGAGCCAAGCACTTCGTATGCTGACTACACAGAGTGAATCTGCAAGCCTCTTCTGGACCTCTCCACTTTGGTGCGGGCGTGACAGCACAGCAGCTCGAGCGGTCTTCTCTTCTCTCTCTCTTTTTTGTTTTCTGTTTTTTATTTTTAAACTGAGCAAAACAAAAAAGCTGTTTTCACAGCTGGTAAGGTGCGTGGTGAGAGCGCTCAACAGCCGTTTTCAAAGGGGCGGAGTCCCTGTGCCTCTGCCTCGATCCAATCCTCCTCAGAGGGTTGCTTCGGGCAGTGACACGGGAGACCTGAGGATTACGATGAGTGCGCTTCCTTCGGGAAACCAGCCTCCTAGGAACCCTCACCCCTCTCACACTCCACAGCCAGTTGAGCCACCAAAGGAACCTGGTGCTCCCCGCATCGATCAGATGTTGATCGCTGAATCGGAGGGTGGGTCAGACTTTTTCGCGGACGACAGCTCAGAGCTGCTGCCTCCTTCGGGTGTGCCAGCGGTGCCCGAGTCGGACCCATAGATGATGACCATGCTTTCCCGGGCCGCCAACAGGATCGGGCTCGAGTGGAACCCTCCACCATGTCCCGAGCCCTCGAGGCTGGACGATTGGTATCTTGGGGTGGTGCGCGCTGGTTCTCAGTAACCCACCCCAGTGCCTTTCTTCCCGGAGGTGCATGAGGAGCTCACGGGGACGTGGACGGCACCTTTTACTGCCAGAAACCGTGGCTACTGGCTCCTCCTCCCTCACCACCCTTGATGGCAGGGCAGCTAAGGGATACACGTGTGTCCCACCAGTGGAGCAGGCCGCTGCAATGCAGCTGTGCCCTAACTCCACTTGGCGCGGAAAACCGTGTCTTCCTTCCCGGGCCTGTAAGTACTCATCGGACCGGACCTATTCAACGAGGCTTACAAGGCCTGTGGGGAAGCTGCCTCTGCCATGCCTGCCATGGCGTTGCTGCAGGTCTATCAGGCCAAGGCACTGAAGGACCTGCACAAGGGTGGTCATGATCCACAAGTTCTCCAAGAACTTCGTGCCGCAACGGACCTCACGCTTCGTGCGACGAAGGTCACTGCACGGTCAGTGGGTCGTGCAATGTCCACCTTGGTGGTCCAGGAACGCCATCTCTGAGAATGCCACCGAGCCGCCTCCTGCACCTCCTGCCCCGTGGAACCAGGTAAGTGTTGCAAAGCACACTTGCCTCCCGGAGAGAGCCTCCCTGTGTCCTGTGTTCCACCTCGCTGCCCCACTCCTGGTACGCATACGGTCCCTTTGGTCCCGCTTGTGCGGTCTCTGCGAGCCTGGTTAGCGCTCCCCGTTCCATCTCGCTGGCTCATTCTGACCATCAGGCTCGGCTATGTGATTCAGTTCGCCTGGCATCCCCCCAAGTTTCGGGCCATCCACTCCACTACAGTGAGAGCAGCCGATGCCCATGTCTTGCGTGTGGATATCGGAGATAGAGCCAGTCCCTCCAGCTGATATGAGGTCAAGGCACTACAGTTCCTACTTTATTGTACCCAAGAAAGGTGGTGGGATACGACCGATCTTGGATCTGCGAGTCTTGAATCGGAGCCCCCACAAGCTACCGTTCAAAATGCTCACGCAGAGACGCATTTTCGAATGTATCCGTCCCCGAGATTGGTCTGCAGCGATCGACCTGAATGTCTTGATTCTCCCTCGACACAGGTTGTTTCTGCGCTTTGCGTTCGATGGTCGAGCATATCAGTACAATGTCCTATCCGTCGGGCTGTCCCTGTCCCCCCGTGTCTTCGCGAAAGTCACGGAGGGGGCCCTTGTTCCCACGAGAGAACAGGGTGTTCGCATCCTCAACTATCTCGACTACTGGCTCATACTAGCACACTCTCAAGATCAGCTATGCGATCACAGGGACCTCGTGCTCAGGCACCTCAGCCAGTTGGGTCTTCAGGTCAATTGGGAAAAGAGCAAACTCTCCCCTGTGCAGAGTATCTCTTTTCTCGGTATGGAGTTGGATTCGGTCGCACAGACAGCGCGCTTTAGAGAGCAGCGCGCTGTCTGTGCTGAACTGCTTGAACACGTTCAAAGGCAGGACGGCAGTCCCACTGAAATTCTTTCAGAGGCTCCTGGGGCATATGGCAGCGGCAGCAGCGGTAACCCCGCTCGAGATCCCGAGATACGGGCATGCAGTGTCAGGGGTGTGGACAGACCCCCAACTGCATTGGCACAACAATTGCCTCGAGTTGCTGGCAGTACATCTCGCACTGAGCCGCTTGAAAAGGCCGCTACAGGGCATGGACGTGCTGCTCCGTACGGAAATATGCGTTTCCCCCAGTGAGCCACGCAGACACTGTGCAAAGTCAGGGAGGACGAGGAGCAGGTCCTTCTGGTGGCTCCCTATTGGCCCACCCGGACTTGGTTCCCAGAACTCATCCTCCTCACGACAGTCCCTCCCTGGCCCATTCCTCTGAGGAAGGATCTTCTGACTCAGAGACGGGGCACCCTATGGCACCCGCGTCCAGACCTCTGAAAACTCCATGTCTGGTCCCTGGAAGGGACGCGGAGGTTCTAGGTGACTTACCCCCAGAGGTACTTAACACCATCACTTCAGCACGGGCGCCGTCCACAAGACGTGTTTACACCCTGAAGTGGAACCCGTTCATTGAGTGGTGTTCTTCTCGCCAGGAAGACCGCAGAAGATGCTCGATAGGGTGTGTGCCTTCCTTCTTGCAGCAAGGGTTGGAGGGAAGGCTGTCTCCCTCCACCCTGAAAGTACATGCTGCAGCTATTTCACCACATAGATGACAAAACAGTTGGAAAGCACGACCTGGTCGTCAGGTTTCTTAGGGGGGTGAGGCAATTAAATCCTCCTCGACCCCCCTCCTTACCCTCTTGGGACCTTTCCCTGGTGCTTCGAGCACTTCAGTATGCTCCCTTTGAGCCTTTGCAATCAGTAGACTTAAAGCTTCTTTCCATGAAGACTTTGCTGTTGGTTGCACTGGCCTCTGTCAAGAGGGTAGGGGACCTGCACGCATTTTCGGTCGACGAGTTCGGGCCGGGTGACAACCACATAGTACTAAGACCCCGGCCTGGCTATGTGCCCAAGGTTCCTACCGCTCCCTTCAGGGACCAGGTAGTGAACCTGCAAACGCTGCCCCTGGAGGAGGCAGACCCAGCCCTGGCTTTGCTGTGTCCCGTTCGTGCTCTGCGTATGTACGTGGACAGAACTCAAAGCATCAAGACCTCAGACCACCTCTTTGTCTGTTACAGAGGCCAGCAGAAGGGAAAGGCTGTCTCCAAGCAGAGGGTGGCCCACTGGATAGTGGATGCCATCGCCTTGGCTTACCAAGCACAAGGCGTGCCCTGTCCGCTCAGGTTGCATGCACACTCCACGAGAGGTGTTGCATCCTCCTGGCGTTGACACGTGGCTCCTCGCTAACAGATATCTGTAGAGCTGTGGGCTGGGCGACACCTAACACGTTCGCTAGATATTATAGCCTACATGTAGAGCCGGTCTCCTCCCGTGTTCTCACCCTAAACGGGTAGAAGCACCGAGAGGTCCGGCTTTGTCGGCTTGCTGCACCCTACTGTGCACCCTTATTGCTCCAGAGTAAAAACCTGTTGAGTCCACCAAAACCCCTCGGCCCGGACATGGCGGAGTGTCCGGCGCCAGGCCTTTATCCGCTGAATCCTTAAGAACCGGATCTGGGCTGGGTTCCATATGTGTGACCCTATGGGGATCCCATATGTGTATATTCTCCACGTCTGCTCCTAACGGAAGCCCATGTCTTTCCCTTGGGCTAAGTTATCCACTATCTCATATGTAGTACAGCCTTCGGGCTAGTCCATATGTGTTCCCCACATAACTCCTTGAAGTAAGTGGCTTCCGCAGCGTCCTCCTTCCTAACTGAAGGGCACGCTTTCCCTGTGTTATCCAATAATCTCACTGTATGGGTTATCACGGAGCAACAGTGACAGATACACTCTGTTTAAGCCTCCTCCTATCGTCCTCATCCTATAGGCAAAAAGGTGTAGAGGCTTGCACAGGGC